TGTGCAACATTTCATCATTCCTGTATTTTAACGCATCCCTTGGCTAACTAAGCCGGGTAATAGTTTTTCGCATGGTGCACAATCTTTCGTAGTTCCCTAAATTCCCTGTCAACGGTATGATGTTCCGCGTCATAGTATACTGTTTATTCTTGTCGTTAGTGTTGCTGCCTCATCTGCCATTGCTTATGATGTTCGTGCAGTGCCTGAGGTATCTCTAGCGTAGCCTGTTTATCATTTTCCTCGGAAAGACCGAAAATAGATCTCTATCCCTTCATGACCCATTCTTCTTCATTCATCTGGTCAGCACTCTCTTGTTCGTTCCTATGTACTAGTTGTTTGACCAACTGTTCGTTCCCAATTTTATACCCTGGTCTCTTGAGACCGGACCAGTTCCGTTCTCACAGCATTCCATACGGATACACATATAGTTCATTACAGCCAGAAAACTCTTCATTTTTCTGTTCCATGCTGGTCAGTTGCGCAGTGCCCTATTGTCCACAAAGCGTTTATTCTCTAAGACACGTAGTGGGTCGNTCGTGTATGTTGTTAATAATCGCCAAACTCACAAGGTACTAGCATTACATCATTATATAGCGTAACACAGTAAAGCGAACTTCACAGGCTACTCTACGGGTGATGTGGTTATTTTGGTCTGAAGGGTGGTAGCAAGTTCAGATTGCATCCGCCTGCAATGGTTGTGAGTGGCATCTTTTATTCCCGACCGTTGTACGCCCTCACCCTATCGCACCCAGCTTTCCCGATTGGTTCCTCAAAGTGGTTTGAGAAAATGTTTCTGAATTTTGGCTGGACGGAAATCGTTCACAATTCGGCATTCCAGTACAAAATATCGTAAAACCTGATTCGATGTACTCGTCTGAGCCCCAGGGTTCGGGCTGCCAAAGTGGGGCGTCATAATGTTTTTTCAATCTTATTTGTTCACTGGGAACCCACTTATTAGCTTTTCTTACCCCTTCTTGTCTATCAACACAAACTTCGTGGGCGGTTGCCTCTTGTTTTAATAATCACGTCATAATCTTTTGGTCGTGTTTAATACTAAGAGTTGTTGGAAAAGTTTCCCAGATGCACAAACTCCTTGAGATTCATCTCTTTTGATTCGTATCTGTACCGACAAGAAGTGTTTTCATACTCGTGTTTAGTGACCTGAAAATCCGTCATTTCCCTCTCGGCCTCAGTTTCAGTTTTTCGGTTTATACAACCATTAACCTTACACTCTCTTGCGGTGGTTTTGGTTATCTTTTGACAACTTATTTGGTCTGGCCAACCTGGAAGTATCCATCCATTAGCAACTTATGTACCTTTGTCTTTGTTAGAATTTTATTGTTTGGCGCAGTCTGGACTCAGTCGTGTATGAAATATACATATATAAACTGAAATCACGTTTAATATTATTTTATTTTTTATTTTCTGATCCGCCGTTGATTGTGATCAAGTCGTCGTTGGACTTCGGGCTGCTTTAACCTCCTGACTTTGATGCCGGTAAGATTCGCTATCATTCGGCAGTATAATACGCCTGTCCCGTCGGGACTTCTGAAATCCCTACCATGGTCAGGGCTGGGTGTCTTCGGTTGGTTTGATAACCTTTCCCTTCCATTTCTGAAAGTGCTCCTGTATGACAGCCTCTCAAATAGCCTCATCTAGTGAGAATGCTTTTCTTGTCCTATCATCCCTCCCTCAATTCAGAATAGGAAAGCTAGTCTCCTCTAAAGACTTACGACCCTATTTTTGCGGAAACATCCTATTAACTGTGTTCAAGTTTATGAAAGAAAGAAAACTACCCCCCCCCCCTATAAGACGCACATAAATTTTTCGTGAATGTCGATTGAAACGAGTCTCGTCAGTTCCACTTATACTTTAATTCAGTGCAGCGCAAAATAGCCCTTTCTCTAATGTGTCAACATCATTCACATAGGGTAACCGATTACAGGCATCCTTGTTTAATCTATCTCTTTGGATGATGAATAACCATTTTTCGATAGAGATACTATCGCGCAAGGAATCATACCTCTACTCACCCTCTATTTTAATTTCCTTGTTGGGTTACCTGCTTTTTCCGGTTGGTTTGTTTCACCGTATCCTGTCCTTACCGTACAAGTATTTGCAAATTGTTAATTGGTCTTGTTCAGGTAAGAATATTTACGGTAGTTGGCGACGTCAGATTTGTGCGAAGGAGATGGTCGGTAAAGGAGACAGCAAACGGATTTGAGGAACGGTTAGGTAGAATTGTCGTGCTTTGAAAATTGTATTTGTCCTGAAACAAAGAGTCGTTTGGGGCGCATTGCGTGGACATGGTAACGATCCATCTGCATACACCTTAATCAGCGTTCATACAGGTTTAATGCGCGTTAGGCCAGCTGATTGTCAAGAGTGATGCTGCTCGTGCTTCGTATCTCATTAATACATTTATGATGAACGCACTGGAGTGAATTAGAAGCTTCCGACGCCGACACGATTAGACGCACCTGGGGTGTTCAATTTATGGTTGAATTTATTGATCATGTAATTGCCAGGGTGACCCAGGTATTTGGATTTACGAAACCTACTATGTAGGGCTCAGAGACTCGGTCATAAAGGCCGCGTTAGGCTCCCTGGATGAGGACCTGGCTAGGAACACTGAGTGATTTGGCTGTGTCGTACACAATGGCGTTCGTGAATTTATTCAATTTCTTTACAATCTTAGTCCACTGAAATTCTCTATTTTTCTCTTGTAGTCTACATCAACTTTCCTGTCTTTCTCCTACTGCTTCATCCAAAGGGGCAGCCAACAGACAGCAACCAAAATCGGTACACAAAAGTTCATAGTTAATGGTTGTTCAAACTGAAACTGATGCAGGGCCCTTTAGGGTTATTTTAAATGCCTGCGATTACCAAAGCACTCAAACCATAGATTATTTTTCTGTATGTTTGAGTAAAATTACGTCAACCAACAGTGTGATGTAGCTCTTTTGTGGGAGCTTGCAATAGTCGTCGTTCCAGGTTTAATGATTGGTGTCACTGGTTAGTCTCAATGCACAGGAAATCTAGTATCGTAAGGGTCTACGGTGAGCTGAGTAAGCCGTCCGTAACTAGCAGCGGTGTTCGTCAAGAGTGCCCTCTTTCACCGTTCCTGTTCAATTTCGTCATAGACGAAATACTGGAGAGCACACTAAGTGGTCTTCAAAATGTAGGTATTGAATGGGCAGCTGGAGAAAAGTTGTGCGATTTGGAGTACGCTGATGACATCGTATGCCTGTTCGAATCTATGGAGGATGCGCAAAGAGTACTTGACCGATTAACAAGTTCTGTCGCTGCGTTCGGCATGTGCTTTGTATTTTCAAAGTGCAAAGTGATGCTACAAGACTGGGTGTCGACGAGTTCCGTTCTGAAACTAGATGGTCAGGAATTAGTTGTAGTTGACTGCTTTTCGTACTTAGGTAACTGCGTGACCAACGACCGCAGCGCATCAAAGGGGGTAACCGCCCGCATTTCCAAGGCTCAAGCAGCATACGCAGGACTTAAACAACTGTGGCAGCGACGTGACGTTTCACTGAAGTTGAAAAGTCGCATATGCTGCACCACTGCACGGTCATTTCTGCTGTACGGTTGTAAGACCATGACTTTGCGGGCAAAAGAAATCCATCGTTTAGCAGTGTTCGACACTCGATGCCTACGTAGTCCGGCCCAAGTGGGGTGGAGTGAGCGGGTTAGTTACTTAGAAGTAAGTTGTCGGACAAGAACTCACTATGGCATCGAATTTAGCTCAACAGGCTCCGTTGGTTAGGACGCGTGTTGTGTATGTCTAACGGTCGCCTACCGCAGCGTGCCTTACTCGCAGTGGCTGTTGCAGGCTGGAGAAAGCCACATGGAGGCCAGCAGATAACGTGGATACGAGGCATGAAGAACTGCACAGAGCGAGTAGGTCGAGTAGATGTCTCCCGGCTTCCGGATTTGGGTTCAAAAGACTCCGAAAGCGCGTGGTTGGAGACACTGAAGATCATGGCTGCGAACCGACAGCAATGGCGGTCTTGCTGTCACTTCTTATCAGACCAGAATGCTTGAAGTAGTATGTGTGCACAGCTGGACTGTCTACTCTGTGTGTTGATCATAGAGGTTCGGTTTCTTTTCCGGTCCCTCAAGTTAAATCCAATCCCTAACCTCCTTACCCGTTCTCACTTACCTTGTATGCATTATGAGTTTAGTAGCGATCAGTGAAGTTCACTTCACTGTATTACGCTGTACAGTGACGATGATGATAATGATGACAGGAAATCTTCGTGGATATAATTTGTTTAACCCAATCTAATAAGTATAAATACGTGACTTTTACAAAAAGTCATCAAATCATGCTGTTGACAAAATATTGAAAACCGGTTCTTTTAGCTCGGGTGAACTGAATTCCGTTTCGCCTGTTCGTTCAGCTTGGTAATTTGTTTGCAAATGTTTCATCATCAGTCGACGTTACATCATCATTGCTTGCGAAGTGGCAGTGTTCTGCTTGTACCCGTTCGTTTGTATGTGTTCTTCTCCTTCGACTATTTTTGTCCCCTGTTCTCCCTGTGTTCGACTCGGTTCGCTATTGAACTGGTGCAAGGGGGTGAGGGTGGAACGGGGTGGAACGGGGTGGGGGTGAGGATTGTCCTTTCGTCCTGATTGCGGTTTCCGTCCGTTCTCAGGTCACGGCGTGACCTTTTGGTTGCGTCATTTGGTCCGTGAGTTGCATTGGTATGTACACGTGATCCAGTTCAATATGTCTGTTTATTGAGTTGATTGAAGAGTGCCAAGCCTCGAGAGATTCTCTGGCGTGTTTTGACCGGGCTTGGTCCATAATTCTCATTGATTCGAAGTCAAGCTGATGTCTGCGATGGAAATGTTTGTGATAAACGACAAAGCACACTGGACAGCTGTTTCGTCCCGTTAGGGACTCGTCAACAGTGCGTACTTTTTGTGTCCCTGTCAGGACTCGAACCGCGAATGATTCTTCTCATTCTGATCTCTTCCAATAGGTTCAAATATTTGGTGATTTACATGGGAACTACGTCTACCTCTGGGAACGCGATTGCAGTATTCAGCGGAGGCATCAGAAAATCATTGAGGAAGCTCCGGCTCCCGGTCTGTCCGAAAGCACCCGGCGGGCAATTGGTGAGGCTGCAGTGGCTGCCGCCCGTGCGGTAAACTATGTTGGCGCTGGTACCGTCGAGTTTGTGATGAATCGGGAACAACAATTTTATTTCATGGAAATGAACACACGATTACAGGTTTGTGTCATTCATATCATACACTGTTTTTCAACTGAGCAATTTAGCTGCTCTCGTTCGAGGAA